GTGAAATGTCTTGACTGCTCAAAAAGTTGAAGAAAAATGCATTGTATTTTAGATCCATGATACCTAACTTGTAATGGGCAGGAAGATATTTAATACTGAATACGCTATTTACAAATGCGTGGGTGGGTGAAGTATTCAGCTTCACAGATCCAGCTTAACATCAAAGTAATAAAAATTAATTTCACAGCTGTTTAGTAGCTAATTATCTTAAGATGGCTTGCAAATACATGGGGAAGCTCTGGCAGTAGCACAGCCATAGTAATGATGGGCTGTAGGAGCGTTAGGAGGGTGCTACGTGACCTGTGTGGTTCCAGACACCCTCCCCTGCACAGTAAGTACTTCACACAGAGCCCATCTTTCACTTTGTCTGTCAAAGGCAAAAACAATGCCTTCCAGAGACCTTCTGTAGTACAAACAGCATACATAAACAATGTTTTCCATTCACCAGATATTGTTTTTATCTTTCTATTATCTTGCTCACGTATACTGGCTTGTCTGTGATTAATGGAAATGGTGTCAGATGCTGGAATTTATTCTGACCAATGAACACAGCTGACTCAGGGGAGTACAATCTCTTGGAAAGTAATAGAACAAAATCCAATATGCATAAAACAAATCCAAGTCACTAGGCTTTAGCTGATAGAACCAACTACCTATGTAATAACAAAGAAAACATTTCTCATGTGGCTGCATAAGCTATATGGTACCTAGTTCTAATGTAGTTTACTTTTGGGGTCCCCCAGCTCAGTATTACAGAGGTTTTTTATTAAGGAATGTAATATTCAACAGGCATTAATATGATTTGTGCAATGAAGGAATTCTACTGTGTAAGATATTAAATAAATTTATTTTTGTTTGAAATTGGTTTCACTAACAAATCTCCTTTCCGTATTGGGCACAAGTTTTTTTGCTGAAGTTTTAATTCCTTTATTGTGTATAAATGTTTTTCCAAAACCAATTAGATTTGAGGCTCATTGCTTTGACTCAAGGAAAAAAATCAGCCATCTGCTGTAGCCTGCTTCAGCATCTTCTGTGAGAAGTATCCTTCTGGATGTTGAAATCTGAAGGATTTATTTACCTTTGATTACTTGTTTCAAAAGGTTCCCAGTCAGCCTGTCCTGTCCTGTATGAAATTAAGACTTTCTGTGCAGAGCCTGAGAATTTCCAGGTTTTGCCTTTGACCCTTGCTTTTATATTCTGTGCTCCTTCCCAGGCAATGTTTGATGAGAGGAATTTCAGGAGTGCTGCTGCTAACTAGGGAGAAGAGGGACTGATGCCAGAGAGTTTGCTGCAGGCAGCATTTCCAATCCAATCACTCACTGCCATGTCCAGGCTGTAACATTTGAAGAGGAAGTCCCCAGCCCTGGAGTCACTTGGGAGCTCACTGGCTTGTGAAGCATCTGTTGGGTCTGAAGCTTACAATCAGATTTTGACTGAAGATGGAAAAGTCATTTAGATCCACGCCACTAGTGGCTTACAGTGCTTTTTCCATTTTCAGAAGTGAAATCTTTTCATCAGTGACAGCAAATTACATGGAGAAGTAGCTGTAATAACAGGGTTCTGGTGTTAGTGTGCCTGTGTTACATAAAACTGTAAACCTGCATATAGTAAGGACCAAAGTTCTCATATAATTATGTTAAAAGACCTCAAGAAAATTTTAACTTGAATGCAAACTTTGAACATTTTAAAACCTCCACCAAATTGACAATTTTTAATTTAAGAAAGCAATAACTCCATTTAACAGAAATGAAAGCCAGCTTTTGGGGCAGGAGGAGGTTGTTGCTTTGCACATTTAAATGATCCCATGGCAACCTGATGATTATGTATTTGGGTATTTGGTGAGCTGGGTGAACCTTTTAATAACTTACATGTAAACTTGCACTGTTTGGTTAATTTTAAGTATTTTAAAATCTGATTGTTGTAAGTTTCCCTGCCAGTTTATTGGTGTACAGCTGATGTGAACTATCCATATTGAAGAAAGCAAACCCCCAAATTAGCTGTGATGCATTGTCCAATTTTTACAGCTGAAAAAAGACAAGGGCAGCACATGACATATGGTGGAGTTACAGTAAAACAATACCCATTCCAACTAATGAAACACAGGCCCATGTGAGTATCACATGAACTATACTGGTGGGATAAAGCAGATTGAATTTTCTTCCAACACCAGCTTGCAGCAGACTTTGCCACTCCTGTGCTGAGACAACTGCAGCTTTAATGACGCTGTGGGCTGGTAAAGGAAGAGTGAAGAGCTCTGGCACCTGCCTGACACCTCTGTTGTTTTCTGATCTCAGACAGGCCCTGTGAAGGACAGTGGTCGCAGAGGTGTAAGGTATTTCCCTGATTCTCTGAGTGTAAAAAAGGGCAGGAGTTTGAGGTTTATCTTTTTTTTTTAGATTTTATTATTTTTGAGGGGTTTTTTCAGGCTTTTGACCCTTTCTTTAGGGAGAGTGGTGTTACTACCTGCAATTGTATGAACATAGAGCAGTCGATGAGAGCATTTTATTTTTTTATGACCAGCAGTAAAGGTAAACACTAATTTTACCTGAGTTGCAGTTGGACCATTAAAAAAACCCACCCTGTGTGGTAACTGTCCAGCAAAATTAATTTAATTGTATTTTAAGATGGAAAAGAGCAAGTCAAGCATTAAGATACAGTAATCAAAGTGGTAAGATGATTATGTTTGAGTATGGCTGTTTGATCTAGGGGGAAACATGCAAGAAACACCCAGGTGCTTACTGAACCAATTTTTAACTAGGTGGAACACTACATTTGCACTACAGTGCAAATGTATTTGACCATTTCTTAATCAGCAGAGTGAACAGGACAGAGGAATTTCCTACAGGAATTACCTGAGGAGGAGTAGGGCTGTGCTAAATGTGGAGCAGAATGGGTTTCTGGCTTGCACGTTAATTTCTGGGTGCTGTCTCAAACTGCAGTGGCTGTTCCACTGCCCTTTAAAAAACCTGTGCATTACAAATTGCCCCTCAGATTCCCTCTGAGTTTGGGTTTTAGTGTCTGAAGGCAAACTTCTAAATAAGTACATGACACCTTCTCCTTCTTTCCTCTCATATCTTCCATTTGTAGGGGGCTCCCCTTAGGAGGTTGAAGAGACCTTTAATACAGCCTCCAGTGAAAAATGGGGGTGTCTTGGGTGCCTGCCAAGTGCTCTGAAGAGGACAGATCACACCCTGTGCTGTGTTTTCTTACACTGATTAGAATCCAGGGCTGCCTCCAGTTAACCTGAGTAGGAAGGAGAGTTTATGGCTGAGACAAAACCAAAACCAAAAGTAATTCAGTGGTATGAGTTTGTCATGTCATGGTACTCGTTCTTTCATTTAAACTTTAAATAAAAGATGTAAATGCAATTCAAGTACAGGATATGCACAAGATACTAAGAAAATGAAAGGTGTGAAACCAAGAATTCAAAGCTAGGGAACATGACATGAAGTAAGGCCTGAGGTGTATTATAGAGGAAGCTGATGCATGATCCAAGGGTCAATTCCTGCTGGCTTTCCAGAGGTTGAAAATAGAGCAGATTTTCATAGTGGGACAGAAGAACAGTCACTGTCATCAAAAACACATCTATTTTAAATTTCCTCCTTTTAAAAATACATACAGCAAAACAACTTATTAGGAATATTTTGGTTTTCCAAAATGCTTGAGATAAGAAGCTGAGAACAGGTGTAGGACACTGTTCCACATAAGCTGCTTCAAGGTGGCTACTTTTAGAGCTGAGTGCCATTTAAGTTTGCTTAACCAGGCAGAATGCTACACATCTTTTCAGTTTGTCCCTCACAAGTCCAGTCCTGCACCCAATCTACTGCAGCAACATTATTAATGATTCTTCCAGTAACAGGCACAGAATAAAGGGCAATGACTGACCTGCAGAATTAAGTCCTTCATATACATGTGTCAGAGTTGCCTCCCTGAATAGAGGAACCCTGTTTGTGGTGAAGCAATATTAAAATAAACAAGTAAAATGCTGCCTCTTCTAATGGATCAGTAGCAAATCCTATTCCTTACTCAGAAAATTAGTTTTTTTTCTTTAATCAGGGCATTAACGTTACCAAGTTTAAGTGCAGCCTTTCCTTGCTTTTAAACAATTTCATTTTATTTCAGAATGTTTGGATGATACTCCAAGATAGTTTCTAAAACTTTCTATTAGGATCACCAAGTGAAGCCATAAGTGAAGTCATTTAAGCAATTACAATTAATTTTTTAATAATTTAATTAATTAACTACACTTAAGCAGCTTCAAGTATCAGTACACAAAAGAATGTATGCTCTTTTTAAATTAGGGACCTGCTTAGTTCCTGCAAAGTGATCTGTGATCTGCATCTTCTATGCCTGGTTTAGTTGTTTACTCACCTCTACCTGGATAATTTTGCAAGTGTGGTCACTCACTCACTCCTGAAGCATGGCAGCTCATTCCCTGTTCTCAAGGAAGGTCTGGATGAGATTACTGTCTCCCCTAGAGCTGAAATGGTCAGTCTGGGCCATGCACAAGCACAAGGCATCCATCCATCCCTTCTGACAGTGTAGGCTTGAAAGTGAGTCACAGTGTAGACTTAAAAATGAGTTACAGTGCAGGCACAAGTACTGCCAGGCTCTCATTCATCTGACAACATCTTGATGACAAGGGTAATTCACATTGAGTAGTTCTTCTGCATTTGCCACCCTTCTCTTCTAGTAAGGGCATCTCCATACAGTCAGCTTCAGGTCATGACTAACAGACCACCTTCAGTGTACACCCAATCTGTGACCAGTTAATACAACTTAAATTATTCACCCTTATGTTTTTATGTAGCCTGGCTCATGCAGCTAGATATAGGCTTTAAATTCCAAATGGACATGCTGGATTTATAAACTCCACAAACACTGGTACACTGGTAACAAAATCTCAAGTCCAGATAGGGGAGCACACCTTTGCCACCTCTCTTGCAAACTGTGACAGCATGCTCTAGATCCTTAATTATGAGAAGTTTTAAAGTTGACTCTTAATTTCAGACATTATTTTATTCTCCATTAATCTCATTTTGTGTATTTCAGTTAAACTCCACAGAGAGTGGTACAGACAATTTAAGTCTGTTTAAATCAAGTGAAATCTAAATTGCATGTAAAAAAAGTTCATTTTAAGTTTTAATCACATATTCTGAGTAAACTTCTGTCTTTTTTTCTTAATTCCAGTTGCTCTGTATTCTTCTCTTTGCTTCAAATATTCTGCTTTGCATTCTTCATAGAATGATGGATCAGAATAGCTACAAGGCAGAAAACACACATTGTTTTTCATCTTGGAATACTGAACAGATATTGCACGAGTACTACTCATAACTGATCTTCCTTCCACACCCCAAGAAAACTTGTCTGCCTTTAACAGTAAAATAACTCTCCTTTTCAAGCCTCTGTAGTGAAGCCATCAAGAGGAGAGAAAAAAAAAGGGAAACACATTTGGTATTTAAGATCAGCTGAAGAATTCACTTGCAGTTCTCTTCCTCAGCACAGGAACCTGCTGGAGATGACTTATTTTTTTAATGCATCCAAGTAACTACTGGGAATAGGTTCAAGTGTATGTCTTTCACAGTAGATATAATGGTCCTTGATCATTATATTAAATTCCTTTCTCTCGTAATTTTTTGAAGTATAACTATTCAACACTATAAACCTTTTTTTGTCAGAAGCATTTTGTTTAATCTTATTTTTTTTCAAAAGGTGAAGGAACAGACAAGTAAAACCGAGTAACTCCAGCAAGTTCTGACTGCAGTTAGGCCTAAATTTTTGCCTGGCTGCAGATGTTTTTTTCATCAGTTCTTAAATACTTGAGAATAACTGTCACTAGTTCAAAGGCATTTATTTTTAATGTCAATCACTGGTTTAAGAGAGCAGGACACAGCAAAAATCAAACCAATCTCCTTTTTCCCCCAGTCAAACTAAAAAACTTCACAGCCCTCACCCTGGGAAATTCAAGAATCTAACACTTCAGCCTAATGGCACTGGGGGTAAATTAGGACTTCCAAAAAAGATGTTTCAATCCACCATGGCATTGAGTTGACCTCTCATAGATAACAATTTCCCATTGCTCCTGCAACTGCTGTTCACAACAGCAGGACACTTTCAAGACAGACTAAATCTTAAAAAACAGAAGCAAAATGAAAACCAACTTTTACTGTCTTACTAACAGACTACGAAGAAGCTTCACTGTGTACCCCTATTCCCACATCTGTGATGTACCAGAGCAAATAAAGGGCTGCAGGTCCTCTGGGCTGAAATCTGTCCCCAGGTGAATCAAGAAGAGAGGCTCTGTAGCCATAGATTCATATGGTAAATAAAATCTTGTCAGTTAGGGCCCTGACCAGCACGGCTTTAATAAAGCAAAGATACCATTTTCAGAAAATACATCCAAGTCCCTAAGCCTGCAGAGCCCTTTTCAGAATAGTTCACATTTCTAGATTAGTACAGGCCATGCACAAAAACCCAGCAAAAACTCAGGAGGGACTTACTAGCCAACCAGACAGTCCTTCAGTGCTGCGTTCTCCTGCCGACACTTCACCACCATCAGAACACCAGTTTCTTGACAGCATTTAGTAAATGCTGGGGGAAATAAACACCACAAACCAAATTGAAGTTAGAAAAATGACAATAGGTGAAAAAACTCTTTGTGTAGGAAGTAGCAGACCAGATCTGATTTATTATTAATACAACCATAGTTGGCCCAGATTCTCATACTGTTTGCAAGGTCTTTGTCACTTGTTTAGCGACAACACTTTAACTGGGATTCTCCCCTCATCATGTAGCACATTCACACACATATTGCTGTTGCTAATACCATTTCTGGAGTTATTCTTGCAGCAAATCCATGATGCTTGTGCCTGCTTTTCACATGCTCTACTCAGGGCTGCCACTTAGATCTCTGGCATTTAAGAACAATGAAGTTGCTCAATGAAGTGAAAGTACCTGGTCTGTTTTAAGGACCTTAAGACTTAAAAAAAGTCAGTGAGATACTAAAACAGAACAGCAAAGTCATGGGTAAGGACATGGGATTTATCTGTGAGTAACTAAAATTATGCCTCATTGTTACCAGCACTCTGTACAAATGTTTCATTGAATAATAACCCCAGATAAGAACTGGCTGTTATTTCTATCAGGAGATTTCAAGCTGTTCTAAGAGGTAATCAGCTACATTTAGCAGATGGAAAAGAGAGAAAGAGAGAAAAAAAGAATGCCATGTGTCCATGATCAACAGGAGCCAGATCAAGAACAAAGGTCACCCCTACCACATCCCCTTCTGGAATTCCATCCATTTCTCCTCCTCCTAGGTCCTCCTGGTAGTGATTTAATATCCAGCAAATTTAGGGTATACAAAAATTATTTTCCTGCACAATTTACAGCTAATCTAGTAACATCAACATGTAATGGTACTACATCACACAACAGCTAAATCATGTTACCTATGCTCAGTGTATAGGTACATCAAGACTTAAATAAACAAGAAAGAAGAGATTTGTGTCTATAAAGGCAGCACTCCTGTCCTTTGCTCATAGCAGATGCCTGCTGAAATGGGCATTAAGCAATTGTGGATCTCAGTGGAACAAAATCCACCCTTTAGGATCCTGAACACTACTGGCAAGATTGTGAGAAAGTGATCCAACAGCTGCAAGCAATCCCTAGGTGAGATTAATCTGCTTGTCCACAGCTATTATTAATTAGGCTTTCACTATAATAATTGACAAGACAAAGTAGTGTTTGCTGAAAGAGTTGATGACAGATTTCAGTGTCCTTATACTGTGAAACTTTACAAAGAACTGACTTCTTTCCTACTTCAAACATATTCTTTATTGATGAACACTTAAAAACCTTCTCCAACACAGCACCCAGCATTACACACTGGCAACTCCACCACACCCTACAGAAAATCAGATGATAGTGTGCAGAAAATGGGTTCAAGTTAACCAGTTATTACCAGCTGGGAAGACACTGTAGCCTGTGCTCAAAGGTATTTATTAGTAACCACACCCAGTTTCTAATGTGGTTTAGACTTAAAGTCACCCAAATGCACAAGCACAGCTTTTAAGAAACATCTGGACAGCTGAAGTTTACTAAGCAGCTGAAGCTCAGAACAAGGCAAATATTTTATTAGGTAACCAGAATATTTCTTTGGTTTTCAAGGATGCATCTGTCATTTATTCCATTCTTTCCTGGACTATTTATATTGACTATCCCTACATCAGCATCTCAGAAAAATCATACCTATTAGTACATTTCTAAAAATGACCTTTGTTTTTTTGTGGGAAAAACATCCAAAGCTTTTGGTCTAATTTGATTTATACTCTCTACAGGCACTTCTTTAAGTGCTATGCTGAGGTTTTGGGTTGGGTTTTTTTTTGTAGTAGTAATCATTTCTTCTGGAAGCTGTGAAGTAAAAAACCACTGAAGACAATGGGAGGTCCCTCTCACTTGTTAACTCACCAGTCTTGATTGGTTAAAGGCGTGATGTCCCAGTGAACAAAAAAAGCCTGAACTGCAATTGCCAGCATTCCCTGGCTGCAGAAGGCCCTGCCTGTGGTACATGGCCAGGCACTGTTGCAAAGTGATAAAACTGCTTCCAGCTGTTCAGCTTTAACATTACTGATGCTTAACAACAGAGAGGAAGAAAGAAGGTTAAAGCATATTAGGCATCCTTATATGAGCACACAAAACTCGATTATCCATCTCTTCTGTTTGGCAGTCATGTAAGGAATGCAAGACAGGTTTAGTTATGGACACATACCAGAAACCTTCAGGAGTCTGGAGAATTATTTTTGTTTTTAATTGTGCTTTGTCTTGCTCACAGAGGGGCAAGTACCACTCTCTTCACTCTCCTAACCAGTGACAGGACTCAAGGAAATGGCATGAAGCTGGGTCAGGGCTAATTTAGGTTTGCTGCCAGGAAAAGATATCCACCCAGAGGGTGGCTGGGCACAGGAACAGGCTCCCCAAGGAAATGGTCACAGCACCAAACCTGTCTGAGTTCAGGAAGCATTTCAACAATGCTCTCAGGCACATGGTGTGATGGGGGTGCTCTGCATAGGGTCAAGAGTTGGACTTGATGATCCTGACGGGTCCCTTCCAACTCAGCTTATTCCATGATCCTGTGAGTCTTCCATGAAATGAAATGTGTCAGTGCTGAGCAGCACACACAGTGTTTAAACTGCTCATTTGCAGAATAACATCAGAAACAGTGCTCAATAGTTGCAGGTATCTCAAACCAAGAATTTACCTCCATGTCTGACAAGCCTCAGTCGTTCCTCGCTCAGGCAGTATCTGCATTATTGACCACACTTTCAGGATGCATAGCAAGACACAGCAAAAGGAGCAGATACACAGCATCTAGTTACAAACCTATTGTAATTTAACACTTTAGCAGCTATGAGGGGTAATCAGAACATTAAAGAATCCAAACAAACCTTCTGCCTGATACACTGCACATTATAGAAAGAACAGAATTGATCTTTTCATAATCTTGTGTATGGTACTATGTTTATGATTTCAGGAAAGCTTTCCATGACTTCAGAAGTTCATGGGCTGATACATTTTCTTTCTTCCTGCAAGCAGCAAGCTACCAAAACAAAACCTCAAGCAGCAGCAAAACAAGAAGTAAATTTGAGCAAGTCTGTAAATTCCTTGCAAACTGTAACACAAAGGAAAGTCATTTTTCAACCAATAAAGGTCATTCCCAATATTTCCAGATACAGGGCAAATAAACTGAGGAACAAGGCAAATAAACTGAGGAACAGAGCTCAACGCCACAGAAGTGAAAATGCCTTGTAAGAAAGGGGGAAAAGGCTTGCCCTCCATCAAATCCACCCTTTGCCAAGGCTTTTCTAGGACAGCTACATATGTCCATCACTGAATGCTCTGTGCACAGACAAGGACAGATCCACTACTGCGTCAGCAAGCTGCAGGTGCTCACCAGTTACCACGGAAACTGGCTACAGACCCCCTTTCACCTGCAGCAGTCATGGTTCATGACATCAGATCTGACATAGGTCACCCCACAGGCTCCTCTCTGTGCCACAGGCTCTGTCTAAGGGCATGCACACAGAGCAAAGACCTCTTCTCGAGGCTACAGCTCAGAGAGACTGCACTGAACAGCTCAGCCCTGATTTGAGGCTGGATTTCTTCTTTTTCTCTCATGAAGAAAGCTTCGCATTTCTGTTTCAAGGCAAATCCAAAGTAAGTTTTGGTTGCAGTTCAGAGAATTTTAAGTCTCATTACGTTCTGGCCATTACAGCCATATAGAGAGATTTTAACTGCTAAAGCAAGCCTGCAATTTAGTACCTTTTCTAAATCAACCAAGTACATAAGGCCAAAATGTATCTTTGCCAAGACAGAGTTCTGCTGTCAACTGAACAAGAGCTGAACAGCCATGTCTGAATACAGAGCAATTCAGTTCTGCCAGTTCTCACCTGCTCACTATGGCATGCTGGCATGTGCCAGGGATCTGCCTATGATGGAAGAGCACGTTTTCAGGGAGAGACAGGAGGGCTTTTTGGCTGAGGCCAGAGATGAGCGAGTCCTTCCAAGGACTGACCCTTCAGCAGGGAGCATCTCCAGCCCTGAGCAGCTCAGAGAAGCTGCTGAGTTTGGTCCTGTGGCACTGCCCTGGATCCAAGAGCCGGATCTCACTGGGTCTTCCTGTCCCAACTTACCCACTTGAGAAAGCACGACACAAAGAACTAGGAGAAATTATATCCTGACATATGTCAAAGCAAAAAAGGAGCTTTTTAAAGCCTTCTTAATTTATCTAAAAAGCTGGAGAGACATGCATTTTTTAAATAAAAATCCCATTCCAAGTCTTTCTGTAATTCCTTTCAGATACAGAATTATACAAATTATGTTGGAGGCATGAAAAATTAGTTTTGAGTGCCTGACAGTATATTTGATGGTTGATTAAAAACTTCTTTAAGTTACAGAGCACTCTTTTTATTAAGGTTTCTTTGATAATTAGCTAGGTTGGCACAGTAAAGAAAACTTTGTTTACAAAGATCTTTACAGTCCGCACTAATCCGTGCTGAAAAAAACAGCATCTAAGAAGAATGTTTTTCTTTAGTATTTCTAATTGCTTTTTCCCCAACTCTGTTTTATGACTTTATGACAAGATAATATGAGAAGCAGATGGAAAGTGAAGTGAAGCTGGCTAACAGTTCACTTATCACAGAGTAAAGATTGGACAAATTATTTCCCTGTCTATTCAAGCAGTCGGTCAGGCATATGCAATACACACTAAAGTATTTGAAAAGATCAGATACATTAACAGAAACCTACAACAAAGTTGGTGGGGGTCCATCAACAGATGTCCTGGGATATACAAGTCCTAATTTAAAAAAAGGAGATAAAAAGCCTGGGTCCTGTCCATTTTAACTTTAGAACATATTGATAGGTTCAATAAATATTTGCTCTCTATGACAAAAATATAAAACTTGTAGGATTTTGAGTCAAAGGGACAAACCAACATCTGGCGTAAGACACAGGCACAGCTCTGCAGAATAAAGATGATGATTTTCTTCAACGCCATTAAACCAGACAAGGTTAAATTTAACACTGTTAATCTC